TCTCCAGTGACCTTATTAAATCATAAGTAATGTATCACCATGCCTCTCCATTGGGCCATAGTCAGCACCTGGGGCCTGTGGGATATAGTAAGTTAGGCAGCGACCCTGCACTTCTCTCTCAGTCTTGCTGGACCTGCATCTCTACTGTACATTAGCTTCTCTGAACCAATTGTCTGCTGTCCCTGCAAGATCCTCTAAGCCTCTAGTTACTTGTCTGAATTCCATCTTCTACTGGTCTGTTTGCTCTTGTTGAAGCCTTAGAATTCAAAATTCCACTGACACATTCAGTTTCAGGGAATTTGAAGGTAAGCCTGTAGTCAGAGACATCATCTGGTACAGAAAGAAAAACATACCTTAGTATACAGACCATAGCACAGAGTTGGTATTTATGTTTATTACCAATTAGAACATTGTATGCACTTAGTACCACAGAGATTATATTTACCATCACATGCAATTCTCTAAATCAGTCTGATATAGATGCTCCTACACAGTACCTGGACAGTCTAAGCACAGCATGTATGTGCTCTCATAAAACATTCTGTATTGTTTATGAATAGACTTAGTATGCATGGGTTGGTGCTTAAGGAAGCAGAGTCTTCCTGCATGAACATGCCAGTTTTGTAGAGATGGACACAGACTCTCAGCTAGAGATGGTTGAAATTCAAGCTCAGGTCCATCAAACTCCAAATGCTGATCCCTCAAGCTTACACTGGTGAGCACACATCATAGTGGGATTCCTACTTAATCTTTACCTCACAATGCTGCCCACAATACTCAGAGAGGCAGGTTGCTCTTGCTATGACTTACCTTGGGGAGGTATGAGAGAGTTGAAAGAATGTCAGAGAATTTTAATGGATCTGAGTGCATGTGGTTCTGAAATACTTCACACCTCATTGAATCTGATGGAAGCTGTATACACACATAAACTATTACTCACACTCTGAAGTTTCTGGACTCTCCAAGGTCTGATCTTGGGCTTTGGTTGACTAACACCTCTACCACCTTCCTTATATAGTCATGCATGTGCATTGCTTAGGTTTGTCATTTTCCGGCCAGTGAGGATAAGTAATTAAGGTAAGTAAGATCATGATTTCTAGCAGGCTTGGATGCCTTCTTGGGCATATGCAATCAGGTTTAGAGAAATGAAGCTTCTGGCCCAATATCACATAGTCACTGTTCTGTGAAGCAGGTAAGTAACAAACATAGATGATCTATTGTGTCTTACTCAGTCCTAGAAATGTCTTGGGCACCTGTGCTCAGTGTTGATTTGGTCCATGTGGGGAAAGTAATTTCTCCTGGGGATGTGGTCATTTGCTCACAGAAAACACTGTGATGTGACTTCACAGGAAGATATGAACAAACTACTCACCCCAAATAGATCAACAACAACAGACCAAATGATTCTACTGAAGTTCATCTGAGCCAACCAATGAGTTTATTGAATACTTGAAGGAGTATAAATGAGGAGTTACTTACAGAATTAGGGGCAATTCGAGGGCTGCTCCATCACCAAAAATTTCATCATAACATGAGGGATAACTAATGAAAACTAATCCTGGGAAAATTGTAACCCTTGGAGCTCTTTGTAGAGAGCTGGCCAGATCAGAGAGCCTTTCCCAGGCAACTCAGCTAGTATGAGAGTCTCTTCCCCCCAGTAATCATTTAATATGGAGCTTCTCACTCTCCCAGAGACTAGCTTCTATGCATCCTCTGCTGCCAGTCCAAAGATAGGTATACAGTAGATGTGTACTTCCCCAGCCCACATCCATAATATGATCTATGTCATAAGGTTTTGGTCCAAATAGGAGTGAGTATTACCCACCCAATCACCCCAGTGCTTCAGCTTGTTTTTGGCTCCTTCTGGAATGTCATAGCAATTCGGGCTGTGATGGGCTCATTAAGGTAGAATGAGAAGCCTTCCATGTCAGCCATAAATATTAACAGTCCTTGTTATGAACCTCCTTCGTCCAAGTTTACGTAGTGAACAGCACAGTTAGTGTATTTGATCAAGGGAGTGCTCCTCAGAGGAGCTAATGACTCTGCTTCCCCTGATACTTATCACAGCTCAGCAGGCACAGCCCTGCATATACTGTGTGTATAGGGGGTCCTGTCAACTAGAGGTTAGGCACTTGGGGATATAGGGCCAGAAGGTACACTGCTGGGGTTAGGCCATCTGCCCTGAAGACAGTGGGGCAGCTCTCCTAGGATAGCATGACCTTTACACACCTCCTTAGAGACAGCCAATTACCAAACTTCATCATTTTGTAGCGGCAGCATCCAGTGTTGAAAGGAGGTAACACTGTATCCTCATGCTAGCTTAATGAGGACAGGGGAAGTAAGCGCTAATGATTTCTGCTACTTGTTGTATTTATTTATTTTTCAAAGCTGGCCTTACAGACAGTACAGTTATATGTTAGTCTAGGCTGTCATGAGAACAATCCTCACTGCAGAAATGGCTCAATACTGCCAGACAGATCAGCCAAACCTTGGTCTGTAGTACAGTCAGTTGCTTACATTAGCATACCCTGATGCTTGGTCTAGAAGGGGATTTGGAAGTTCTGTTTTAGGTAAATTGCAGCACTGTTGTTCCTTCAGCTTTCAGTGGACTAGCGTTCTGTTAAACATATCAAAACTGGAAAATACCATGAGTGAAAATGGATTCAATATTCCTAACCTATAGCAATTCATGCATAGGCAGAACAGCATATTGTAGGGGATTGGTCATTTTGCACGTGCCTCTGTGACTGATTGGTATCTCATGGAACTGTCTGTTCCCTGTCTGGTCTCATTCACATAGATTTACTCTGAAAAATCTTTGCTCAACTCACAACATGTTCTCCATCAGGTTACCTTCCTGTCTCCCATAAGCCTCACTAATACATTCACAACTACATGAACTACTTCTGGGTAGAATAAGGTATTGCCCTTACCTGGAACCTGACAAGAGACCAGCCTAAGAGCAGAGCGAGTCTCCCAAGGATTGCCTCCTATTCTTTTTTCCAAGTTTCACAATACAATTCAGTGGTAGGTTGTATATCTAACATGCATGAGGCCACAAGTTCAAGCCCCAGCACCACAAAAACAAAGAAAACCAAGACAATCTAATTCCTTTCCCAATCCTCATCCTGCCAGGCCAGCCTTCCCCCTTGAGCTGGTCCCAACTATTGGACTTTTCCCTTTTGTCTACTCAGTGGGAAGGAAGGAGGCTCTTCTGTGGTGCCTTATATGGAGTCTTGCTCTAGTGAAAAAATGAAAACTCTCAGACAGCTCATCACACTGAAGCTGTCTGGTGGAATGCACTAGAAGCAAAAAGTCAGACAGCTGCCAAACCTGCTTCAGCCAGCAAAGTGTTATGAGATGGCCTCAATAACATCACTTCCCTTTAGTCAACACTGGCTTGAGTACCCACTGTGAACCAGAGACTATTATGGTACCTGGGGATATGGTGTTAAAAGGTACACATAGAACTCTGACTCATGACTTTTGGAATGTCACCATCATGCCACAGTTGAAAGTTTTCCACCTCACCCCATGATATGGGTCACAGTCCAAATATAAATACATTAAAAATATCTCACAAAACTATTATCAGATGTACATATAAGACATAAAGCAGACATGAATTCTGTGCTTGGGTTCAATTATCAAGATACAGTGACTATTCTGAAATCTGGAAAAACCCAAAATCTGAAATGGTTTTGGACTCATTAATTTCAAACAAGACACAGTATGTAGTGCTGTCTGCCTAAGAATTATATGGAATTATGATTCTAAAATAGTTAGGTGTATATCTGTTGTTTTACATCTGTGGGTTCAAGGCTCCCCTCTTCTGAGCAGAATAGCTCCACTTACCTTATCTGTGCATTTGGGAATCCCCCAGTACTCTTGCTTTACCCCTGAGCTGCTCATCACCATACACCTATGGCTGCAGCCTGGGTCAGAAAGCCCACTGTGTTGCCCATCTTGGTTCTTCTTTCTGGTTTCAAGATTGGTTCTAGGTTAATGTGGCCCACATCAGAGAGCTAGAAACCCTACTATGAGCAATCCTTCCAAGATTGTTCTTATTCCTTCATGTATCAGGGCTTCCAGAACCTAAGATAACCCTGGCCCTCCATTAAAAGAGTCTGAACAAATAGGCTCCAGCTTAGAGCTCTAGTGTCATGATAGGTCCTGAGTCCGCAGATCAGTCCTGCTGTGCATTGGCCTTGGTTCACACCTTGGATGGCACTATTCTTCCACCTTTTCAAGCTTTGGTGGATGAACCAATGAGTTCTCTTTCATGTCTAAGTTACCTGGAATTAGGAAGTATGTCACCAATGAAAGACTTTTGTATATTACACAAATGTTTTCACATAGTAAGCATCCTGAAGGGTTAGTAGCTTTTCCTTAGAAAGGTAGATGGTGCCAAGGAAAGAACATGAGCTCATGGAAGTTTCTAGGGAGCAGGGTTTCATAGTCAACTCTCCTCAGTGGTGCTAGCTCCATTTAAATTAAGCTGAGGCATTTTTATGAGTTATTCCTATCATCTGTATGTTGTCATGCATCTATCTATCTATCTATCCATCTATCTATAATCTATCTATATCTAGCTACCTGTCATCTATCTGTAACATGTTCTCTTGGAGTCTCTCTCATAGCTGAACTGAGAAGGAAGATGTTTGGTAGGTACCAAGATTACAAGGGCATAGGTATCGACGTATTCCATTAATTTCTCAGTGGTATCATTCCTAATATATCTCCAGGAATAGGGAGGTGAATTGCTGGGTTATTAATAAACCCTAGAAGAATGAACTTAACCAGATGGACAAAATATGTTACTTTCTAACTCTTTTCCTTCCCCCTTCCATTCTACTTTTGTTTCCATAAACTATTACTACTGGAGGCCCTTGCTTCTCTTCTTTCTTCTCTTATCATTATTCTCTCCCCTCTTCACATCCCAAGAAATGGTGTAGAGGAACACACTGGTTCCAAACAGTATCATTCTGAACAAACTCTTGTTCACAACAATTTAATGTTTATTCCCCTTAGTCATCAAGGACCATCTCCATGGCAGAGGCTCCTCATGATTTAACATTTCTTCCTTCTAGTCAATGGGGATTATTTCCAAGGAAGGTGATTCTAACATCAGCTTTCAGCCCTGAAGGAGCAGGTAAGTCATCTGTAGCTGCTCTGCAGGTCAGAAAACAGACAGAATGGATCAATAAAATCCTCCCTTTTGTGTCTCTGGATCTGTATCCCAGCCCGGGAGTCAGGGAGCCAGAGACCTCAGTTGAGCAGGATCGGAGCCTTCCTTCCCATTCTTGAGCAGTGAATGAATTCCACACTGCCTTAGTTTCCTAGGTTCTGTGAGTCAATGGTAGAGTTCTCCGTATTAAGAGAATGAGGCCACGTGGCTTTGGGATATGTCCAGTGGAGAAAGTACTCATCACAGAATAGGATACACTCCAAGTCACATTGGGCTCTGTGGCACTTATGCTGAGGAGGATGAAAACCACATGTACCACTGAATATACAGTCATTTAGTCTCTCTGAGTCTCAGTCCTTTGTCTGAAAAAATAGAGACAATAATATCTACTTCAAGGAGTTAGAGTTAAACAATGCAATCCATGCAAAAGCACTGAAAACTGTGAATACAATGAATGCCAATTGAATCTACATGATTCCACTGACTTACTGCAGGCACACATATTCAGACAGACACACACACACACACACACACACACACACACACACACACACACACAGAGAGAGAGAGAGAGAGAGAGAGAGAGAGAGAGAGAGAGAGAGAGAGAGAGAGAGAGAATTTCTAAGAATTTCCTGGATTCAGTTCACATCTGCTTCAATCCCCTTTTATTTATTTTTAAAGTTTTATTGTGTGTGTGTGTGTGTGTGTGTGTGTGTGTGTGTGTGTGTGTGTGTGTGTTTGCAACTGCTCCTGGGTATGCATCTATGTGTTGGTATGCATGCGTATGTATGATAGTATATGTGGAGATAAGAGGTCAATGCTGAATGTGTTTCTCAGTCGCTGACCACATTTATCCTCCTCCTCCTCCTCCTCCTCCACCTCATCATCATCATCATCATCATCATCATCATCTATTTTAAGATATGATTGCTGCGCCTGCTGTGCCGCCTATATCTGAGAATGTGCGGAGGGTGTCAGGATTGATGACACAGAGACCAGTTGGTGGTGCAAAGAAAACTTTTTAAACAGGCCCCCAGAAGGCTCAAGAAGACTTCCCAAGAAAGGCTTCCCTCAAGAAAAGCTTCAGTCTCCTTTCTCCCCTTGGCTGGTTATATGTCCCTGACACCAGAGTCAGGAAGAGGCAGCTAGCCATTGGAAAGATCAAAGTCAGGGTGTTCCAGTGAGCGAGCCCTTATCGGGAACTTATAGCTCCAGTAAACATTTCTTAGGCCACCGGATTGTTTTCAGTAAACATGTTTTTTGTAAACATTGTCTTACAGCTGCCTGCTCCCAGGCTACTGGGGTAGGTCTTTTGTTCCCACATATGATCTCTTCCTGAACCCAGAACTCACTGATTTGGTTAGACTAGTTGGCCAAGAATTTACTGTCTCCATCTCTTCCCCTGTGCTGGAATTACAAGTGTGTCCACCATATCTGGTTTTTCTCAGGGGTTCTGGAGGTTGGAACTCAGGCCCTTATGTCCGTGTGACAATCACTTCATGGACTGAGCTATCTCCCCAGTTCTCAGCTCCCTTCTAGTGATCTGATTTCTTCCTTGGGCTCTAGAGGTCAGAGAAAGACTGCCACTGTTCTTAGGAATGTGGATCTCACAGATAAGAAACTTCACTGCCTTGCTTGGCGTACTTCACATGCCCCTAGGATAGAATGTGAAGTCTTCTGGCCATGCAGAAGGGCGCTTTACTTAAGGGAAGGTGTTCCTGGCACTGGCAAGCAGAAAGCGCTACGAAACAGCTGAGTTCAAACTTCATTTGCTCCATGCACTGAAAAGAAACAAGGAGGGTCAAGGTGGAAGTGATAGCTTTGTAAGTTTAAAAAGGAAGCATGCTGCATGAAGCTAGATGTGAGCTCAAATCCTTAACCTAGGCAAACATTCTCTGGCACATTTTCCATGTCTGCAAATTGAGAGTGATAATGCATCCCTTGCCATTTAAATTATACAATGTGAAGAACAAATGAGGATCAAATGAGGTAGCATAATTTAAACCATTTTGTAGAACACCACACATTTAGTTCTTATTGGGTTGTGTTAATAATGGACAATGTTGATGTTAGAGTTAGAAATTCCCCAAGTGCCTATCTGAACTGTCTGTCTTTCCTGAAGATCTCACATATTGTCTAGGACTTCTTGCTCACAGGACACCATTTTGCAATGAAAGCAAGCAAGCAAGAAAAAGAACTCTTACAAACTTCACATGGAAAATACAGGCGATGCAGGCCCAGGAGATGGCCACAACTTTGCTTCTGGTTGGACTTAGGAGCCTCTGGTGGTACCTGTATATTTCACCCAAAGTGACAGGGACCTTGTTAGCCGTCCTTGCATTGAAGATCTTGATGGATTGAACTCCTGGGGAGAATGTGGCGGCCGTGATCTGCCATAAAGATGATGAATAACATTTTTTTTCTTAAATGATTACCTAAAACTTTACAGCTAGCCAAAGCTGGCTTTCTCAGAGCCCCTGGAGGAGAGCTTTTATAAAGTGTCATTTAATTAATAAGGGGGTTATTGATTGCTCTCTTGCATGGAGTACTGCACACAGGCTAGACAAGAGAAAGTATACAGAGAAGGACAGGACTGAGACCAAGCCTGGCCCACCACTTCCATGAAAATGAGACCCTTCAGAACCCTACATGACTAAAGTCCCATTCTCAGGAGACATTAAGAAAAGTGAAGAGTGTCTTCATAGATAATATTATTGGAAAACTTTGTTTTGTCAATTATGATCAAAAGAGCCTCATGTGTTGTGATGGGATGTTTTCCATATAGTAGGATGAGAGACAATACACTTCACAGAAGTATGAACTTATTGACTACAATATCCTCATATCCAAAATGATAGAATTATGTTGTTTGGTCTTCAGGATTCCAACTCAAATATCCCACTTTGCTCTGAATTGCTTGTATTGGAATAGGGTAATAAGCAAAGCATCAAATTGTGTATACTCTTTTCTCCTATGTCCTCTAGAGGGAGAGGATAGACAGATATTGATGTGAGTCCACAGGCAATGAGAGTGGGCTAAGAAAATGTGCTGGATAGTGACTATAACCATTAGACACATTTAAAAAATGAACAAGTAAATTTGTACTCAAAATAAGCCTAAGAGAGCTCATTGGCAAGTCATAGGACATGCATTGTGAAGTTTGCACTGTCCTATCTCAAATTCATTAACTGTTCTTGTTATTTGGATCTTCCCAAAGAAATTTATGTAACTTCCTAGTTCTTAGGCATATTAACCATTTTTTTCAAAATATTAAATACTTGAGATATTCATACAATGTATTTTAATTATGTCTGCTCTCCAATCCTTCTTGTAATATGTCCCAGATCCATCCCACTCCCTATTCCTTCCAACTTCATGGCCTCTAATATTTTTTAATAAGTCATTAGGTACAATTTGTGCTGCCCATATATTTTTGAGTGTGGGTACATTCTTTGGAGAGTCATCACCTACCAGGGGATATATCCTTAACGAAAACCAAATGCCCTTCCTTAGAAGCCATAAACTGTCCATAGATCTTCAGTTAGTGAACAAGGAACACGATTCCTTCCCACTCCATGCTAGAATATTAACCATTGTTTGACCAAGGACTCCTTGGATCTTCTTTTTGACTGTGACATTTTACAGAATGAATTTTGAAACTTTGTGTTTGCATTTTTAGTTAAAAATCATTAGCATTTAAAAGGAATTAATACTGACGTTGAGTCTCAGTTTTACAACTCATTAATTGTACAACCACAAAGAGGTATTTATGTCTGAGCTCAAAGATAAACTAGTGTCATTCATCCCTATAGGTTGCTGGTCAAAGATACTCCCAGAAGCTCCCAAACAATGTCACTGTTGTGATTCATCTTATTACCCACCACAACTGGATTATACAACCCTAATGTTGAAGATACAATTCAATTTGATTACAGAACACAGAGCCATCAAGCTGGAACTTATCTGAAAATATCCTACTTATTGACTAGCTTTCATATTTCTAGAAAGTACCATACAGGCTGCTAGGGGGAGAAGATCACCAATAATATTACCAACTGGAGAATATTGCATGCCATATCACTGACCTGTAGGTCACGTAGAGATAGGAAGAGGGTGGTATGAAGGTTATGGCAGTAGCCAACTAGATCTGAGGCCTGCTTCACAGAAGGAATTTGTGTGGTACAGTAAAGCTGCTCAAAGGCCCATAGTTCAGGAGGTCATAAGCTCCAGGGGAACCTACTCCCATTGTTTTGCTAAATTGACATGTTGTCAAACTTCCTTCTAAATATTTATGTCTATAAACAAAGATTAATGCTGTTCTCAGACCTGTACACAAAAGTTTCTCTTTGTAGTGGCCAGCAGTTGGTGCAGACACCCATTAATGGTCAAAGGGCTGAAAATAAATACTATTGAGTGCTTGTCCCTAAATGAGACATCTGTACCAAGTTCACCTACCTCCGTGGCCCAGAAAACATCTTGGAAGAAGGGACAGAAGTAAGATCAGAGGATAACAGGTAGTGCCAACTAGACTTAGTGGGTTGTAAAATAAATAAATAAAAGAAAGAAGACATAAGGGCCGTGTGTTTGTTGTGATTGCCTACAGTGAGTGAAAAGGGCAATTGAGAGGGGATAGTATCGAGATGCATTACTTTTATTTGTGAAAGTTTTAACGAACAAATAAAAGTTCTTCCATTAACGATAACAATATTGTCTATCTACTCAAGTTGTTGCAGATAAGAGTGCAATGTCTAGAATGTAGCGAGCTCATCAAAACTGCAGTTGCATTTCCTTCTCCCTTCCTGTTGCCTTATTTTCTTCAAAAGTCTTGAAAGCAGGCTATCAATCTACTGAGTAACTTGAAGGCAGGGCACGGAACAGCCAGTGATAGATAGAATCATGCCACTCATCAGTCCTCAGTCCATGACACTGATGACTGATGTCTGCATGCCAAATTTACCAGCAATTAATGGATCTCTGCATTTTATATGAGATCTAGAAGACTGGAAGTGACCAATACTTTTAAAGGCAAAAACCACCTGAAGCATTTGTGGATTGTAGCTCAACATGAGCCGAACTGGAGTTGTCAAAAGTGAATGTGGGGATGTGGAGAAGGTGTATGTGTAACCCCACCACTAGCTGAGGTGCTACAAGTGTTTATTAGCTGGTGAGAGAAGGAGAGCCACTTCTCTTTAATCATGTGACCCCTGGTAGTCTGACTACATACAAGAACAAGCCCCAATCATAAGACTAGTTGTTAAACTGGGTTCAATTGAAAGGGAGGGGGGAGAATGAGACAGTTGAAAAGGTAATAAGGTAATATGGGGAGGGGAGGAAGGAGGTGAGTATGCCCAAATTCCATTGTATGAAATTCTCAAATAATTGATGAAAAATTAAATATATACATATATCCATATATTTATATTCAATGTAACTTTCAGTCGCCAACATTTTTCTTTTGGTTTTTCGAGACAGGGTTTCTCTGTATTGTTTGGAGGCTGTCCTGGAACTCGCTCTGTAGATCAGGCTGACCTTGAACTCACAGAGATCAACCTGCCTCGGCCTCCTGAGTGCTGGGATTAAAGGCGTCCACCACCACCGCCTGGCTTGCCAACATATTTTTGATATTGGCAAATTGTATTTAAATTTGGATGCCATGTTTATGTTGGATAACAATAGATGCAAAGTACCGTAGGGGGATAGCATTACAAAGATCCCAGAATGTCATGGACATTAAGAAAATTGACCCTAAAATGTTGGTATTGGAGTGCTGTTATAGCCTTGTCAGTGGTAGTGTTTTTTAGGGAAGTAGATTCTCCATAGAGCAGAGTAGAGTAATCCAGGTTTCCCACTCCAAGTCTTACCCACTGGAGTTCTTCCTCAGCCAATTCACAATGGATACCATTGCATGCACATTCTCAGGCAAAGCAAGCCTCAAATTCTTTTAAGAAGTGCCTTTTGAAGGATATTGGAGATTTTTCTTTCCCTTTTTAAATTATTGTTATTTTAGTAGATTGGGGCCTTACCTGCATGTATGTCTGTGTGAGGCTATGTGGTCTCCTAAAACTGAAGTTACAAACAGTTGTGAACTGCAATATGGGTGCTAGGAATTGAACCTGGGTCCTCTTGAAGAGCAGTCAGTGCTCTTAAACACTGAACCATCTCTCCAGTCCCTGTTGTAGAGTTTTTCTACAGAGCAGGATCCACCTACTGTCACGAAGGACTGGCAGAGAGATAGTGTTAGGCTGAAGGATAGAGAGACTTCTCTATTGATAACAGTTTAATGATTGCTCTAACTACTGGAATCATAGATATATCTGAAGAAAGAGCATACTGGTTTGAAGAAAACTTGTCAGTTATAAATCCAGAACAGATTGCCAAAGTCAAGGGGCTGAGAAGTTCTACTGAGGGCAGAGGAAAGCTAGACAGTCAAAGAGAACAGATGTCCAAAGTCAGGAGGGGCATTAGCAGTTCCACAGAGGGCCGAGGGTTCCCCACAGCAGTTTCTCATCTTAATGTGGATATGGGGAAACTCAATAAACTATCCATATTACTAAATAAACAATGTAAAGTAGGACAAACACAGTAGATCCTGGATTTCTGATGGCACCCTCCGATTTACCTCTTTGTTCTTATTTTAAGCCCTCGGGTTTTCTAAACATTGATATCGATAGTATAAATGTATACTAGTAGGGGCCACTTTCAGGGATAATTATATCTGACTATATATTTAATATATATTATAATAATATATAAAGATATAATAATTTACATAATAATATATGTTTTAGTCTAGTGATTTATTGGTTGCTGAAACTTGACTATGCTAATACAAATCCTTAACGTGAGAGTTTGGTTCTGGAAATCAGTTTATTAGATGTAGGTTTTAAAACAACAATATTTTATTAATTCTTTGAGAATTTCAAACAGTGTATTTTGGTCATGTTCTCCCTTCTCCTAACTTCCTCCAGATTCACCTTTACTTCCTCACTTGATTTCAGATCCTTCTCCTCTTCTCCTCTTCCTCCCCTTCTTTTTGTCCTCCTCTACCTCCTCCTCCCCTTCTCTTCCTCCTCATTCAAATGAATCTTCCATGAAGCTTGCCACTCTTCTGACCTCTATGGCATTTGTTTTAAAAATCATTGAAACATTAGTGGGACAGGAGATTATTCCTGGTGAGTTGACATGTGAGAAGTCAGATTAGAGACACTTTATGACCCCAAAAGTGACACTCACTCGAAGAAGTTTTTTTACTTATTAATGCACAGTAATTTATCTACGGCCATGCATGGTACTGAGACAATCACAACTCAACAGAACCCATTCCTGGTTTGTTGCTCTTAGCTCTGGCCTGGAAGTCTGGCAGTTTTGTGGATCTAGCTGGACCTATGAACATATATGAAGATCACTTTTCTGTGCACTAAGTCTCAGCAGGGAACCCATCTTACAGCAACAGTAACAGGGACAAATTTCCTGGAAGTCCTTCAAGGTTTTGCCTTGGAAGTCATTCAAGGTTCTGTCTGTGCTATACCATGCAGCAGCCCATTACTGAAAGGCAGTCACATGGCTAGAATGGAGATCGTAGGAGGAAGATCTCATGGCACAGCAGATGTGTGTGGGAAGATATAATGGATTGATGAGCACCCCTCAACATTCACATCCTGGATAGAAACTAAGAAAGTAACCTTACTCAGAAACATGCTTTGCAGATATAAGGGTAACAATATCAAGAATAATAATGCTGGATTGGGCAGAGAGGGGAAAGTCTGAAGACTGGTGTTCCTCTACAAAGAGAAGAGGACACAGGGAGAGGCATGAGGAAAGAGGCCATTGGGGCCACTTGGAGATGGATCCAGAGACTAAAACAACGCTGCCATACTTGAAGGATAGACTACCAGAGAATAGAAGGGACTTGGGTGGATCTCCTTGAGGAAATGTCCTTGTCATGTTTCTGGGACCCAGAACTGTAAGAGAATGCATTTCTGTTCTTTCTATTAATAAATCAGTGCTACATCTCTTGGAAACTTGTAGATAAGGGTGAAGAACCTGCTGGGACGAAATCTACTACCTGGAAATGGCAGGGTGTTGGGGAGGGGTCATTCTTGCCCTTGTATCTGGGTGGACAGCCAAGGTAATTTTTTTTAGAGAAAATATTCAGAAGCCACAAACCTGCTTTTGTATGAGCTAAGGGCAGAAATTCATACACTCTTGTGTGCTGTAGCTACTTCTGGCTAACCTCATGCCAAAAACGATAAAACCCAAACTCCAGACTTAGTTTTCAAGTGGTCATGAGTTAGAAGTGTCCAGGGAGCCTGCCAGGCACAAAGGCAGGTTCTCTCCAGAGGAGCTCACATTAAATATGGGCCATCAGGAGTCCCTACATATAAGTTCCAAAAACATATTCTCCTAACTGAAAATCACTCACTTCACATGACAAGAAGCAAGAGCCAGCAGAAATAAACCATGGAATCAGACAAGCAAAGAAAAATAGTTACAGCTGAAAGAAACAGAAATAGAAAATATAACATGTATCATACTCTGAATTGTGTCCCTCAAAACTACCATGTTGAAGCTTCAGAATGTGACTATTTGTAGGAAATGTCTTTCTGTGAGTTGTGACGGTAGACTGGCTCTGTCAGGGTGGATTTTAATGCTGTCTCACTGGGTACTCACATGCGGGAGACATTTAGACAACACAGGGGAGGCCTGTGTATTGTAGGAAGACAATGTGAAGATCTACAGACAGCCAGAATACAACAGCACAGAGACAAGATGGAAAAGAAGAAAGCTGCAGTGGTGTGGAGGATGGAGCAGGCAGAGTCAGACTCATAACAAAGGAGAAAGAATTAGAGATAATTAGGATCCAGATCGGCAGAATAGCCCAGTTCTGGAGGTGGCTGTTGGGATAAGCATGACACTGATGTTGACACTCGATACAGACCTGCTTGGTGACAGACAACAAGAAGGCACTGGAAATGAGGCAGAGTAAATGCAAAGACACAGAGGCCCGAGAAAGCCCATGTCTCTAGGGTGTGGCAAGGAACTGTGTGCAACCATGTTCTAGCATGTGTTGGGGAGTTTCAGTACACTCCTTTGGGCCCAGCATTTAGAGGTAGAGGTAAGGATTTTGGCCACTAACCTGCATCCCTCAGGTTGTCTGGGTTTTATGGGCTGGCTTAGGGAAGTTCTTAAGAAATGAAGTCACAGGATCCTCTCTGGGCTCAGGAAGGCAATGTGCCTAAATGTCAGTGCTGTGATCATTACTTTATTAAACTGAGGGTGTGGCTTAACTGTGTTCCCATGACACAATAAAGGGCCAGACTAGGCTCAAACACAGGTGGGCCAGACTGAAAGCACACAGTGCCTCAGCCTCCTTTCTTTGGACCATTTCCAGACCTCCCTCAGGGCCAGTTTCTCAGGTTGCACCATCCAATATGGGTGGCTTTCTTTTTTTTCCTGGTTAAATGTGTCCATGCTGCATTCTTTCCCGCAGAGTCAAACTTAGATTAGGTGCATCTTATTGTGAATGCTATTCAACACTACAATACGTAAACACCACGCTAGTGGATTCTCACTACCTAGTAAATGCCACTAAGTATGCTGAAGAATCTGGTGACTGACAGAAGCAGCCTTGTGTGTAAGATCAGGACGCTGTCATTGTCCATTTGACACATACAGACATAGTCTCTGATGTCTCCAAATCCAGCCCCAGATGTTTGCTACCTGGGAGCTGGTGCCATTTTTGGTAGTAACACTTGTGTCTAAGCTGTGACTTTTATTGGAATTTGTTTTCCTTATGATAGCACTAGACAATGAACCCAGGACCTCCTGAATGTTCAGCTGACGCTCTTACCACTCAGCTAACTTCTCAAACGAAGTTGGAAATTTTTCTATAGGAACAATCATTGTACCATCTTGGAGTAAACACTAGTTGAAATGGTTCTAAGATCTAAGACTCAAAAATAGATTCTTTATCTGAAAAAAATGAGCTGGGAACTGGCTCCTGTTTCTACTGGGCTGTACCTGGGAACAGCATTCTTTTAAAACATGTAGTCCTTCTAAAATTGAATCTCTGAGAACAAAACCAACAAAACCACCTGGTCCCTAGACTATAGTTTAGGAGGCATTTGGAAGAACAAGAAGAGAAGGAGGTAGGGATGGGGGAAGAGTACAAAGAAAGAATGAAGACAATAAAGAGAGAAGGAATCAGGGCAGGGAAAAGAAGAACTTGGTCCAGATCCTTGCCTTGCTTAGGCAACCAGCATCTCTGCTCTTATCCAGCTTCAGGGAAGGGCAGAGTAGACTGTGAGCTCAGAAATGTTTATTCATAGATACAGCAGGTAGATTAGCATTCATAATGTATGAGAATAGGTAAGTATAAGGGGGTATTCAGTACAAGGACTAGTGGAGCCTTCAGGGGATATCTTAGTCTGTGATCCACACAAAGTTAGTGTTTTCCTGAAGTCATCTCTATCACAATGACCTGAGAGCAGGGTGCAGGCATTGACAGAGGAAAGCAGGAATGTTGGGATCCCTGCCTGGTGTGGAGGAGCTTCCTAAGTGGGGGATCTGTCCTTCCCTCTCCATGATTTCTCAATTTCCTGCAATCACAAACCAACTAACTTATCACATTACTCAGTTCCAGAATTTAACTCCATTTTATGACCAGAGACCACATTATTGCTTTAAAATATGATGTTAATATGGACTATATTTTCTAAAATACAACTTCCTTATAAATCAAGGAAAGACTATGCTGCCCAGAGCATGTCAGAAGTTGCTCACTATTGTATAACAACAAGTCACTGAGGGTCATACTACCTGAGCCATTAGTAAAAACACTTTGAAGACTTCAACTTGTCTATCCTGCAGGTGGGGTGTCAGTCAGTATAAACATATAGTCACCTGTATATTAAAAACCTCCTTACAAAGTGGTTCCTCCTTATTCCTCCTTTGTGTAGCTGGTTTAAACTATAAGTGGAGATAGGTTCTGTTTTCTGGGTGATACTAGTTTTTAACATTACTGTGAAGCGTTTGGTTCGAAACCACTGACCAAGTGGTAAAGTATGTTCACTTTACCTGTAAGGAATTTGAAGTTCAGGAAAGTGAAGGGTTATATTCCAGGTCAAAGCCACAAGGGGATACAGCAAAGAGGGCCAGGCTGAGCCAGGCTTCTTACTGCTGGCTTTGTGTGTCAAAAATGAACAAAAAATATAGAGACAATTCTCCACGCCATATGTTTTCTTTGGGAATAGCAAAGAATAGAATTGCAGTGCAGGCAGTTCGTCCAGGTAGGAGGGGCCCTCTAGGAAAGAGAAATGCATATGGGCAAGTGAAGTGAAGCATTATAGCTGATGATTGTGGTGGTCACAAATGAGGAAACTAGTCTTTTTATTGTTGTTATTCCTTATTAGTCCATACAGTATCTTCTCTTTCAGCCCAAGCCAACTAATCTTAAAGTCCAAACTCGGTGATTTATTATATTGGGCTTGAATGGCATCATGTCATTCAGGTGCTTGTAAAACATGCTGTATTAGTTGCTTTTCTATGTGATATAATACCACAACCAAGACAACTAATAGCAGGAAGAGTTTATTTGGTTTATGATTTTGGAATGAGGTGTGGCAGCAGGTCAGCATGGTAGCTAGAACAGAAAGCTGAGTGCTCATGTCCACAATAGCAACCACCAATCAGAGAGAACAAACTAGAAGTGGTACAAGGCTTCAATCCTTCAGAACCCATCACCAATGAAATTCTTCCTCCAGCAGGGCTGCACCTCCTAAACCTCCCCAAACAGTGCCACCAACTGGAGACCAATTGTCCAGATTTGGGAGCCACTGGGGAACATCTCATTCAAACAACCAAAGACACTTTCTTTCAACACCGGTAATAAAATGACATCTAAAAAGACTCTCTCCAAATCAATGTCCAGTCCCAAAGACGCATCTTCTAGTAGTGGCTGAGGGTGTCACTGATGCTGTTATCTTATGACAGCTGCCTTGCTGGGAAAAGATGGAGACTTAGAAATGAGACTACCCTATCTCCATGCTCCAGCTCCGGACTGGGGAATTCTACTATCTGTGTAGTAATAACTCTACTAGAAATCATGAAGAGTTGAGGTACCCAGCCATCCTTCCTATTCCACCCTGCCATTAGAAATGAGCACAGAGAAATCCAAAGAGGAAGTGATTGATTCAAGTTCACTTAGAGAATGGTGCCTGAGCCACAGCACAGAATTGACTGCCAGGATTTATCCATAGCACTGCATTCTTTCTCTAGCAAGGGGGTTAGTGCATATACTTGTGTACAACACAGATTGAGTTAGTTTCCTGCCTCCCTCCACTTTCTGCCACTCTTTATTCCTGACAGATGCCAGTGGTGCCTATTGCCCTGGGATGTAGCATCAGCCCCTCTCCCTGATGAATGAAAAGCTCACAAAGAGAAGCTTGAGTGGGTGCACCCCCAAGAGGGAGTGCTAGAGGCAACACACCCATGGTAGAACCTCCCAGCCCTCTGTTGCCTTTCCCTTCAGATAGACACTTGTTCCATATTTACATTCCATCTATGATGCCTCTTGTTTATCTTGTTACCTAAGTACTTGGCACAAAATTAATTATTTTGTTGCAAAAGCCACAGCTGACGAAGTAAAAAAAAAGACTTTGACTCTAATGTGGAATAGTATAAATAACTACTTCAATGGAGACATGGGAAATTATGCTCACTCTGCCACCACAGCCACTGCCAGGAGAAGATTCGGAGGGTAACATCTTGTCATTGTGTGCAGGAAAAAAGATCATTTCTTAGCAAAGTGGTTTTCACAGATGCTCACAATGCAGGCTCCTCTCTCCCCACACACGCCCCTCCCTCCCCCAAATTATCAGTACAATATCAATTCGCATCTCGCAGCATGCAAAGCAGACAGAAGGCAGCTCCCTGCCGAGCCTCCATCCAGATAATTCTCTCTCTTTCATGCCAAAGCAAACAGTGGGAGGAAGCAGGGACATTTTCCTCCTGGGAGCAAAATAGCCCATCCCACCCTCCCTCAGACCCCCCCATAAAAAAACAAAACAAAAAACACATGGTAGATTTGGAGGCTGAACTCCAGGTCCTGCGTGTGTGGGTGCACATGAGTTTTCCCTCTTGGTACTTACTTAGAAAGTCATTTTCAATTACATGGATTTCATTTGACTTGAGAGAAAAACAGCAATTGCGCTGGTTTTAGAGAATAGGAGAGAGGAAATGGAGTGTGATCAGCTGGGAGTTAAGGAGGAAGAAGACATTTTTTCCCATCCCCAGAGCTAGATTAGCAAGGGAAACCATGACCCTAGATTGTGTGTTTGTGGTGTGTGTGTGTGTGTGTGTGTGTGTGTGTGTGTGTGTGTGCTGTTGCAATAAATCAGTGTCCCTGCAACTTCCATTCTTTGTAACACATGAAGAACATAGGAATTTTCTTTTTTCTCTGAATTCTTTTTTCCTTTTCTTCTCTCTCTCTCTCTCTCTCTCTCTCTCTCTCTCTCTCTCTCTCTCTCTCTCTCTCTCACACACACACACACACACACACACTCTGAACACCACAGCTCTGTTGCTGCTTCCATGGCCACAGGTAATTCAAGACCCTTTCCTCATAAGGCAGACTGATTGTGTTCTTGGCTCCCAGAGAGAATCATGGTTGTAGGCTGCAGCAGGTAAGCTTAGTGGATTTCAGATTCTGTGACTGGGGAAGACAGTTGGGAGATGGCCCTTGGTGACTTCAGGCCTAGCCCACTGTGCCCTCCCTTTTCTCATTAGGAGCAGGGAGCCTTGAGCAGGGACTCCTTTGAGTACTATTTGTCATCATGATTGGAGCACTAGGACAAGCAGCGAGGGGTACACACTGGAGAAGAGGACTGTGTCTACAAGAGAGCTGAATGAGGATAAAGAAAAATCCTACTTTAAAATACGGAGAGATGAACCCTTTCCCATTGAGCTTCAGTTTCCTTATCCCAGAGGGGACTTGGAGTAGGACAAAGACAGCAGGGGCAACTTGGTTTCTTTTTCTCAGTTACTTGATGTCCTCAGAGGTTCATGGAAAAGTGAACTGTCTGCCACAATTATCAACCCATTCTGAAAATATTCTTCTCTGAATGCCTGTGCTGCGACAGTGTCCTAAGTCCATGAAAGGGATATGCTGAGATGAAGGACAGGAAAGAAAGGGTGCTGTCGAACTTTAAACTCCATACCCACA